TCTCTCTACCTCCCAGCGTTTATTTCGCTCACTCCGTCTTTCTAACCTGTCCCGAATCTCTTCTCTGACCCCGAAACCATTTTTCTTGCCCTCTGATAGAATTAGAGAGTCCTTGAACCATGATGATCACACTTCCTGAAGCAATTACTATTAAGCAGTGGCGGCCAGAGAGTGTAGCACGGACCGAGCTATAGGCAGGAGGCTGTTGACATGGAGCCAGGCAAGGAGCCCAGTGACACCCACACCAGAAGCAGCCAGAGGTGCTTTCCGTAGGCTGGCAGAAAGAGGTTGGGGTCAGTGGGGTTGTGGGGAAAGAGGGCTTAGGGGGCACCAAGCTGTTTTTACAGGATCCAAGCTGTCAGGATATACCCATACGGTTTGAAATGTTAGGAAACGTTACATTACAGACAGACGTACCTCAGCTTCACATGGAAAATCGGAGGTCCGGTTACACACACTGTATACAGAAAGACAAAGAATGAAGGCAAGATGAAGAGAGGTGTAATGAAAACCAGAGTTCCTCACATTCACAGCAATTTGGAAGTTGCTTATAAAATGGAGTTTTTCTCTTTTTTCATCCCTTGGCATGGTGAGCATGTTTCAAAAATCACAGAATCTGAAAAACATCACAATGGGTCAGGTCTTTTTTCTAAATTTTGACAGCAGCCCTTGATGCGTCAAAGGCCCACATGCCCAGAAATAAGTGATTCTATGTGAGCTTTTTACAACTCAGAGGAAATTCATGTTTTGTTGCACGACTGCATCGTTACACTCTATTTTGAGACTTCTATAATGCCAGTATATTCAAAGTATATCAAAAACACATAGAAGTTCTATGAAAGATCTGAAGCTTAAAAAATAGTTTATTCAAACCCAGAACAGTATTCCTTATCCTCTCCCCTATAAATAAAGCTACCTCCTCTACCCAATAAGTATACCATTTTATTCAACATTATGGTTCTCGGGACAAATGAGCATGAGGAAAAAAGCATAAACCAGCTGTTTATTTTTGGAATGGTCTGCGTTAAATCTAATTTGTGCAGGATGGGTGCTGGGAGACCCAAGAATCCCCTGCAGCTTTGGATGAGGAAGAAGAGGAATGTGACCCCCAGAGGTCAGCAGTCCCCTCTCCCGGGTTACAGGGGCTCCTGCACAAGGGCTGGGCCAGGGTCACAGGTCAGTAGGCTCACTCATTCGGCTCTGCCCTGGCGCCTGCCGGCACAACCCTCAATTTGTAAAGCGGTAGAGGGTGACCCCAGAGGGCCTCTCCTGGCTTCCCTGGCCAAACACTGGTCTTAAACACTACCAGCCTCCCCCTGATTCCCTTGTCTTCCCTTAACTCCCCCGTCCCAAAACCAGGACCAATAGTCTAACACATATACACACACACTCAACACCAATCCGTCCTTAATAAGAAGAATTACCCCAGGCAGGGGTAGAGGAGAAGGGGAGGGGGGGAAGCAGGTATGCCGCCATCTCCGCCTCATTACTTAGTGGATTTATGTAGGATCATATGCCCTGTGTGTAGTGGCGCACTTGGGCGCTTAACTCTTTGACCTGCACTGTAAATAAGTAAATTAGTAAATAAAAGCTAGCCTGTCTGGGGTTAGAAGTGGATCAGAGTAACTCTAAGCTAATGACAACCGCTGCACTATTTTTGCTGTATTAACCTTTTTTAGAAATGTCATACATACTAAAATACTAGAACGTCATTGACGTTCTGATGCCAACTTGTGCAGCTGGTAACCTCCAACATCTGACAGTCTGCTTCTAAGTGAGTTGCCAGTCTGTCTGTTTCCACTGATGAGTGAGACTGAGCTGTTTCTGATAGTGACTGTTACAGAGAGACCAATTATCCTGGCCAATGAGGACAGGCCTCTGACAGCATAATTACAGGCAGCCTTGCCTTGCAGCAACCTTATGCCTGGGTATGGCTACCAGTCTCCCAGCAGTTGGGAACAGGAGATGAGAGGAAGGCCGAGTCGGGACATGGGGGTGGGTCTGAAGGTGTCTTAATCCACTAGGACCCGATGTCCTGTCTTGTCCCAGACTCTGGGGCCTCTCCATGGGCTTCTGAGAGTCGGTGCTGGGGCCTGATTTGGCCCAGCTGGAGGAAGCGGGCGATCAGAGTTCAGTTGGTGCAGACAGAAGTAAAGTAAACAGCCGTGGTCACTAGGCAGGCCGTTAGCAGGCCTCGGACAGATGAGCAGGGGGCCGGGAAGACCACACACATACACATACAGCCAGACCACACAGGGGCCAGGGCTCAGGGGCCTACGCACGCAAGCACACGCCCCATCTGCAGGGTTCCCCTGTGGGCAAAAGCATGCTGCAGGTCAGGGCGGAGTAACATGGAGCACAGAGGAACAGCAGACTGGCACACACATCATCTGAGTGCCTGTTCCGTATGAGAAAGATACCACCAGGTCTGACCCAGTACGTGGAGACTTAATCCTCCTATAGAGCAGAGCTGTAGGAATGAGTAAACACAAACAGGAAGAGATTCGTAAGTACGCTGCTGTTCCACTGCCAAATCTTAAAGTGCGTTTTGTGAGTCTTTCCATCTCCATGATTGAGACATGCACTCTCTTCTGGGGAAAAACCACATGTACATTAGCTGGGAAATCACATCATGTTGATAAACCAAAAGTCAAATAAGCAATTGTCTGCGAGATTTATTTTTGTTTAGTTACTTGCTTTCAAAACGTCCCAAAAAGGAAAACTGCTACATTGTGGGTCATAGTTTATTGTTTTTATTGATTATTGATCTTTACATTCAGAACGTATGGCATATCATATAGTTCAGTACTTTTTTTGGTAACACCTAACAATCCGGTACACAAAATTGCGAGTGAGGAACAAATCAGGAATGAACTGATAACTAATGAATGAAAGTAGTTCCTGATTATCTCAGGATCAAGGTCTGTATAGATGATTTTTGAGAGTTACTATAGAACAGACTGAGAGATAGTATATTAATGAAACCTTTACACAATGATTAGTTCATAAATATCTCTGAATAAACATACTAACCACTCTCTTCATGAGTAGTTCCTGATTAACTCTAAATCAGCCACATATAGTGGCACAAAACAAAATAATGATTCATTAATTACGCATTACTTAACTAAACTAATCCCTATTACCTGATGATTATGGGTTTAGTAATGGTCAGGTAATCACAAGGTAAGAGGGACTCCTACTCATAATAATTTATCAGTTCACTTGGGGTAATCTCTAAATTTCTAACTTTATGTTTAATTCACTGGAACGGTATAAAAACTATGCAATTGTCCCTGTGTGTTGCCTTAAAACAACAAACAAACATTAATACATTCAGAACCGCATTATTACATAAAATGCTATGCTGGTTTTATCTCATCCCTGAAACACAGAAAAAAAATCACCCCCCCCCCCCCACAACACACACACACACACACACACACACACACACACACACACACACACACACACACACACACACACAGTAAGGACTTTGGCAAACACATTAACACGTGAGGGCTAAACAAAAATAAATATATACCACACAAACACACTCACACACTCTCTCCCTTTTTCTCTCTCCTTCCACAAGTCCACATAACCATAAGTCTCTCTCTTTATCTGGACAGTGTCAGAATGACCCATGGGAGAGCCTGTGAATGTGTGTGTGTGCATGTGTGCATCACCCTGACATAGGGTGGAGTGAGGAGTAATGCTCTCAATCACAATTACTCCCCACTGCCACCAGTCATGCCGCCTGCCTCGCATCACCTTACTACACGTACACACACTAACACAAGGTCAGCATTTCCACTGGAAAGACATGATGTACATGAGTTCGGCAGTGAGTCCAGACTCACTTCCACCGAGGATCTAGTGCAGCTGTCAGAGGGATCAGGCACAGCAGGGCCGGACTGCACCCATCTGCCTGCTTACAACACACACCCTCCTGTGTATCAGTAATCCTCAGCACCCTGCCTCCCTCTTCTTTCATCGCTTATCTCCACATTTAATACCACATTTATGATAACGGATGACAGGTAGCTTGGGCTGTGATCCCTCCTCATCTGGCCTTTATCTCATAATGGTACAAGCTGCATTCTTCCTTCTAGCGCAGAGTCCGGCAAGCCTTGATAAATCCTGATCACAGGGTGGGCAAATGGCTTGCTAAAAGTTTTTCTGGCTGTAAAAGTGGGCAGTTGAGAAATAAGTATGAGATTTGCGGCTAATGAAATATGCAGGCCACGTGTTTGTCAGTAAGATATGTGTGAGTGCATTGTGCATGTGTATAAGAGGACGCACAACCAGCAGCTATGCTGTATTGTCTTGGGAAGTGTTATTGAGCTGACCTAGAGATTTAAGGTCTTTTTGAGTTAAAGGAAGGACTCCTTAACAAAGTCTGATTGAAATCTGAAATTGATGCTGACATTAGCTATTTGGTGTTTTTGAGCAGAAGAAGAAGTTGACAGTTTGTGTGGGGGTCTGGGGGTCAAGCTTGACAAGGACATGGCTATGGTTCCGTGTCTGGGCAGGAGGCTGGGGTCAGAAATGGCTGTAATTTGAGGTCACGGATGCATGTTTCAGGAAATGGATTGGCCGCAGTCTGTAGAGGTAGAAAAAGCTGTTGAGAGGTACTCAGATGATTTAACATTGTGATGGTGACGTTAGGTCAGGGTTATGGGGAGTCTGGGGGGTACCGAGGAGTGGAGGCAGAGAGTTTCAGGAGGAGCTGGACACTTGTCTGCTGTGTAGGGAGCTGGTGAAGGTCACAGAGCAGTGAAATATGGCTGTCAGATAGAGAAGAAGAATAACACAGACTCTATCCTTCCTGTCTTGCCACAAGAACGTCTGGGTCCCCGCAGGGTGATACGGAGAGGTCATGCCCTTTTTGCAAACTGAGGCGAGGTTCTCACACACTTAAGTACAAACATGTTAAGATGAAAACAATAAAATAAGGTAAAGACAATGAGATCTTTGCTGTTATAGAGACACAGTAATCAAGATCATTATTTTATTGTATTTTTAGAAATTAACACAATGATAATAACAATAAAACAGACAATAACTGACTTTCTAATTGAATAGTTACACTTTCTCAGTTACCGAATCAGTTTAGGATATTAGTGAAAAATATAGTTTTTCAGAACAAATTATGCCTACACCAATAATATTTAGTGTTTCTTTATTTTATTATCATTATATATAATTATTATATATTAAGTGAATACATTTTACAGATATTACATTCTCCATCAGGACATTTTGAACTGAATTGGCAAAAGTAAAGACTTGAAGACTTTTTAAACTATATGTTAACATTTTATAGGACAGGGCAAATGTGAAATAGAGTCATTCTAATGTTTTATGTAATTTTAATAATAATAATAATTGAGACTTTCAGAAGACTTATCCCAAATGTTTCAGAGGACAATATATTAATATGGCCTGTTTTCAGATGTAAGGCTGGTGAGGCTAAGCCCTATTTAAAAGTTGAAAGACTTTGGCTCTGATTCCTCTATTGTTTGATCAGGCAGGAGAAGTCCTCAGCTCTCTAAATTGGTCCTTAATGAGACTCGCACGTAGGCCACTTCCCTTTGACCCCCGACATCCCCAAGCTTGTCCCGCGGTTCCTCTTCGGAAAAGGAGGACCAACTGGCGAGGAAATCTTGCTGAGGGAGTAAAGCCACAGCACAGGAAGGAGAGAGAGAGAGAAAGAGAGAGAGAGAGGTGACTCATTTAAATTTTCATGCTTGGGCATTTGGTACTAAGATGCAACAACACACTTCTTGTCTTGGCTGCTGCCAAATGCTGTGTCAATTCCACAGGCCGTGCGTATCATTGGCAAAACCAGTGTGTGCAGACGGTGACCTCTGAAAAATCCCACAATCCTAAATGATTATATAATTATTTAAGAATCATTATTATTATTATTAATATTATTATTAATATTATTATTATTATTATTATTGTGTTTTACTCTTGAAATCTTGTGGCCTATATCTGGTACATATGTATATTGGTACACTGATTATGTTTTGATTGTTTTAAGTATTATTAATATCTATGTAAATACAAAAATATGATATTCTTGTTTTAGTAATAGCAGTTGCTGTTGTATTGTCTACTTGTTTATTATGTAGCTCATTTACAGAGTTGTTTGAGAAGTAGCATCAATCCACTTTAAAATGGTATTATTCTGAGTGGTGAAATCTATATTTGGAGTTATGGTTCAGGTTTGTCAGACAAAGTTGGACAGATGGACTCAAAGTGCACTCTGTGTCTGGCTTTGAGATGTGGAACTCCATCCAACTTTCACTGCTTTCCAGATGATGGCTTCTTTTTTCTGTTATTATTGCTGTCTAACATGTCCAGCACCGACGATGCTTTGCATGGGTTATAACCAACACATTAGGCATGAAACATTATTTAAGTCTGCTCTAATAGAACATGCTCAACGCCTGTTTTTCAGCTCTGTCTAAGAAATGGGTAAACCACCAGGCTCATGCATACGTGAACCTAAATAGTTTTTTGACATAAAAATGACAAAAAAATGGCCATACAGTTTGTAACCAAATAAATCTGTGATATCACGGAGCATTCAGGATTGGTCAAATAAGGATGCAGCAGTTCGCTGCACAATATCAAATTATTTATAATAGCGATGTGAACTTTGGCTGATAAGACACTTCTTAAGAAATATCAATTTCAAGTTTTAAAGGTATGTATTTCTAAAACATTCAGACCAGCTTATATTTAGAATTTTCCCCTCCATATTTGAAATATCCCCACATCAACCGAAACACAGTCACACCTGGGATTAAAATTATCACATTTTCCTCTGCATGTCATGGATGGAGCTTGCTGTTAATTTTGTCCACACAAAAAAAATGGCTAGCCCCCAACAATGAACACATTATTACATAAAAAAAATAAAAAGAGTGATGTTTTAAGTTTGCTTTAAAAACAAATGTTTTTAAAAATTGACCACATTTTAATATCCATTGTCTCACCTTTAAAGTACATTTTACCCTCAATAGAGGAAGAAAATACACTTACTTAATTACTTGGTCTGTTTCATGATATTACATTTGGCGTTAAATCTGGCAGATTATTTTGTCCAAAACAAGGTGGAAAGTTTTAAATGTAAAAAACATAACAGACTATGTTGGATGACTATGAAAAAGAAAGGTTTTCACAATGTTGAAGACCTATTATAATGTTTACTAGTGGATATCACAAACACACACGCACAAACACACACACACACAATGTGCAACTGAGTGACACGTGTGGTGTATGTACGGTTTACCAATAGACCCCTCTAGATGGCGTTAACATGCTTCAAGGTCTGTTGGTTATGATCTGAAAAAAGACACTTCACTGAAAAAAGAAAATCATAATTACTGCTCTGTGATTTCTTAACTACGTCATTAAAAAAATCATATCTTCATTTCATTCTTTTGTGTCAGTGATGTGCACAGACTGTGTTTGAGTTTTGCACAGGCAGCAGCTGATAAGTTGCTTGCTGACAAAAGTTATTTGGAGCGCACAAGAGCTGCATAGCATTAAAATATGACTAATAAGGAAAAAAGACATACATACATAAATGGCTGAAATTCTATTAAAATCTATGACGATTGAAATAAAAGAATTTGCACAAATTAGAGAATTTAGAGAATCTCTCTCTATCTCTCTCTTTTTCTCTCTCACACACATGCAAACACACAGACATTGACCGGGTCATCATTGGTGTGCCTGTTGCCCTTTCACATATTTTCACATATCTGCTGCTCTAAATGCTCATAATTGATGCATCTGTCGGTCAGCTGGCAGCACATGATTGTGCTAAAAGAGTCCTGCAAATAGACGAGGGGGGGCGGGGTGGGGGGTGGGGGGGTGGGGGGGTTCATGAAGTAGAGTCTCACAGACCCCTTATATCTAATGATTTGGGGTCCCAGGGTCCCAGGCTTCATGACTGTGTGGTCCTGAGCAGACACAGCAGGCTCTTTTAAAAGCAGGCTCCCTCTGGGACAGAAACAACATTCATTCTCTGGATCAAATAGCACCACTCTAGTCGACATCAGATCTCATTATGGCACAAAAGAGCTGTTGTGTCACTCAATATCAAACAGGGACAATCATTTAGACAACTTACAAGGTCAACGTCACCAGACTGTAGTTCTCCCTGTAAGAAGGTTTCACCCAACAGATTCTATAGTATTTTCAGACTGTTTTTGATTCTCAATTGAATTTTGAGAAGAAAATAAGAAATCCATCCTCTTTATATTTTATTATTTTTCAATTGTTAAGAAAGGAATTTGTTGATTGCTTTCTTGTGAGTCCAAGTTTTTTCTTCATCTATATATAGAAACAGTAATGGAATACAATCCTGAGGCATCCAGAGATGGAATAAAAGCCAAGGGGATCTGAGTGATTGCTACTATAAAACGTCTCCCAGGCCTTGTAGAGCTGTAAAGGACAAAGAGAGATAGTCGGACAGGCCTGTTCTCAGGCTGCAAACAGACATCTGGCTGCCTTCAAGACAGTTCTGTCTCTCTCCCTCTCTTTTTCTCTGAGTCCTGGTCTCTTTGTTTTTCTCACTTTCTCTTTGTTTCTCTTTCTATCTGTCTCTCCTCTTCCTTTTTTTACTCTCTTTCCCCTCTTAACGCTCCTTCAGCGTTGCTTCTTCATATCTCAGTGTCTCTTTTGGTCTGTGAAAGAATGCATCCAGCATTGTCTGACAGGCCTATTTAAGGGTATGCATGTGTGTGTATGAGTGTGTCTGTTGGCGTGGGTTAAGGCAGAAGTCTGGGGAAACAGTAACCAGAGAGTGTCCCTGAAGTGTCGGATGGGGTCACAGAGAATCGGGGGTCTTCTGTGACCCATCACAGAGCAGAGCAGTCGACAGAGAGTTCTTATCACACAGCACTGTCATTCACAAATCAACTTCTACACACACACACACACACAAACTGAGTTTCTGTATAAGCAGCTGTTGGTACCACATATTTCATGTGTTAGAAGAAAAACTTTACAACCTTGATTTGCTACTCACCCAGTTTCCATTTAGAAAAGGCATAAACACACACGCAAGCACACAGAGACGGAAACACACATAAGTATGCATGCAAACAAATACACAGACTGACGTCATGCACAGAAATTATGGGGTGTTAACATGTAATTAAAATGATGTTGAAAGTAACTCAAAGGCTAAAATGTGTGCCGCACGTCACTTCGATATCAAGGTAAACAGATACAATTTCAGAGTTTCCAAATCACAGTTTTTCTTCACATGCGAAAGCTCTCAGGAGTAAGATAAATGATGAATCATAGCCATTAAATCTAAATGTACCCAAATTCCAGCGCAAACTTTACGGGCAGAAAGTGGATTAATGCTTATGTGGGTGAGTGTTCAAGTACTTTATTTCTAGTCTTGTGTTTGTATTGTGTGTTTCTGCCTCTATGGTGCGTGTGTGTGTGTGTGCAAGCATTTGGGGGAGCAGCACAGTACGAGGAGAATTCATGTTAGTCAGCTCTCAGAGAGGTCTCAAATGTCTGTTTTCCTGACGTGTGATCCATAAATATTTGAAGTGGAAAGGGCTGCGCTACGTTGTAGGACAAATCTAATTAACCCAGAACTTCCTATGGGTTCCTCCGTCTGTGGGGCTGTGTGGGTGTCTCTTACATTGCCAATTCACCTCCCTAAAAGGGTCTGACTCCTCATTTAAGCCACTCAAACCTTGATACATCAATCAGTCACTTATGTTGAAGACCTAATTTTGGACTTGAGGAAGAATCATTGAGAGCAAAATGCTGATTTCTTCTTTCCATGCTGTGGCTTTTTAAGTTTGTTTTTCTTTCTAAATATTATTCACACATTTTGGCTTAAAAAGTGTTTTGGGTTCACACTCCAGTTCAGGAATTTGCTTAGACTAACACATGGTGTTCATATAAATATGAAATTATTAAAATATAGTGCAGAGAAAGCAACGTGCTGCATTTTGACTCATCTGCCTAAAAGATGATAGCCTGCATTTAAAGAGTGTTGCCACTGTGGTGAGACAGAAAAGAAAGACAGAGACAACACTTTTCTGTTATTCTGTCCTGTTTCTCATCAGATGATCCATATAAAGTTCATATTACGTCTCTTGGCATTGTCTTTTACTCCTACCCAGTCTGTGTGTTTGGTACACAGTAGCCTATGATTCATTACATTATACATCTCTTCCCTTGCTGTTCTCAATCTGACCTGGGCAGGAAACATAGTGCCTCTGAAATACTAAAGTGCTGCTGATTCTGAGATAGTCTGCCATCCCTTAAGCCAGATGAGACATGAGGCCACTCTCCTTAAAACCAGCGCTGGAATGCCCAATTGAAAAGATGACTTGGGTGAGGATGTAGGGGAATGAAAAGCTGTGCATGGATCTCATTCCTGAGGCCTGGGGTTGCTGATTTCATTAGAGTGCACCACAATATTAGAGCGGCCTCAGTTTGCTTTGCGCTTGCTCTGAGCCTCACATTTCCATAATGCAGCAGAGGATTCAGTTTCACACGAGAGGGCCACGCTCAAACCATTTCCGCCGTAAACCGCTTGCTTAAGTTCTTATACATTTTCACAATAAATACAAAGGGAAATGCGGCCAGCGTCTTGTTAGAGGAGGTTAGC